TAGCGGAGAAGAACGGTGTCCCCCGTCCTCGGACACAGGGCTGGGGGTTCATCGCTTAGATGTGTTTCGCATGGCCTTCCCTCACGCCCTGCCCTGTCTTCTTCTAATGCACGCTTCCTATTAACATGCCGACTGTCATGTCTTAGGCTTTGGCGGAGTTTGAGGAGGAGGTGTTGGAAGAGGGGTATGATGAGGACGACGAGGAGCCTGAAGACGACGAGGACGGCGACGGGGGGGAGATGGAGCCGGCCGTGGACGAGTCGTTGAATTCCGCAGCCGGCATTGATAGGCTGGGCTCCGTCATCTTGTCTGTGGCCCTGCCGCTGGCGGCGCAGGGCTCCCTGCATCGGCAGATGTACGTGTCACAGCAGCAGCGGCCGCCGCTGACGATGACGCCCACGCAGCCCCAGCAGCCCCAGCAGCAGGCACCAGCGGCGGGCTGCAGTCCTCCAAACCACATTGGCCATGTCCCATACGAGGTGAGCTAAAGCACTGCGCGACGGTTACCTTCTCTCGTTGCCTCACTAGCTGTCGTACCGTACCCGTCGCATACCGTTGCAGCGATATTGACAGAGTGTATAGACTGTAACCATTTGACGGCTAATGCTGATTTCATGGCCCGTTGTTCTTGTCCCGCGCCCATTCTTCTTTATCCCACAGCCACAGTACTCGAACGAGCCGTCTCTAAGTTCCATTCCATCTCCGACCAAAGACGGCCTGGTCCGCCCCACCTCCGAGACCTCCTACCCTTCGTCTACCAGTGGTGAGGGCAGTGGGTGCTTGGAGAGCGCTGCGGGGCCGGCGTCTGGGCCCGTACCAGCTTTCCCCGCCGTGCAGGAAGCAAACGGCAGCCTGGCCGCTGCTGCCGCCTCCGCTGGTGTTGGCGGGGGTGGGGGCAAGGGTGGGGCCCGGGGCGGGGGGGGGGCCGGGGCCCCGATCTGGCGGCGGCGAAACGCGTTTGTGGAGTGGGCGAACACGATGCATCACGAAATGGTGGTTGAAGAGCAGCCGCCTGGCGGAAGCAGCGCGAGTGGTGGCGGTGGCGGTGGCAGTGGCAGTGGCAACGGTAGCGGCAGTGGTGTCCCTGGCGGAGGTATGCCTGGACATGGCAACACGATGGCAGGCGGGGCAGGCGGCACAGAGCACACGTCATCATCATCGGGCTACGCTGTTCCCTTGGCGCTTGCGGCGGACACGCTGCCACCGGAGGGTGTGCAGTTCCAGTATGCGCCGGTAGGAGGCCTTGGAGGGTGCCCTTGGTGGGGAGCGCGGATTAGTTGCTGGTCGGTCTGTCGGTCTGCCGGTTGGCTGGTTGCTCGGGAGTCCATGACAGCTCGGTAGGATTGGAGGCAGTGGACGCGCTGCATCTTCCACCACCATGCATAGGTGTGTGGCGCCGTGTATGGTTTGCAAGGCCAGGTGACACTGGCACCCGCATGCTGCCTGGGCTCGCTGCGGGTTGGTCGGAGGCGTACCAGCGGGATGCGGCTGTGTGTTGAGTAACCACTGCTCGAATCCACTTCTATCCATCCACACACACGCATGCGAGGGAAAAGGATGCCACCCCGCCGCCTTCACGCGTCTCAATGGCTACCTGCTCGCCCCATAATTGCTTACCGCCACATACCCCATCCACTTACCCCATACCACCACATGCATGGCGAACTGCTGACGAACTGCTGAGCAGGGCGTCTACATCACGTTGAAGCCACCGGCACAAAAAGGCGGCCCGGTTCGGCTGGTCAAGGTTCGCTTCAATCGCAAGATGTTCACGGAGCAGTCTCAAGGCCAGGCCTGGTGGAACATGCACAGGGCGACACTGGCGGAGATGTACGAGCTGACCTTCGACATGGGGAACAAGGTGCGTGCAGGCGACCAGTGGCTGCGTGTGTCTGTCTGTCTGTCTGTCTGTCTGTCTGTCTGACGACAGTGCGTCTGGCCGAGAGGTCGGGAGAGGCCAAGAGGCTGAAGTAGATGGCTGAAGGGAGGACTGGCCGGGACTTAGGATTTGCGGATTCAGTACTACATACCCGGAATGCATCTTTTTATGCCTTTTCCTTCCTGCCTTGACTATTACTTGATGAAAATAGGTGCGCATCACCATTTGTGATGAATATCCAGGCACCTGTAGCACCATCATCATCACCGCCGGGGTTGCCGCCGCTAGCTCCCGGTTCACACGGCACAGTTCCCCCGGCCGCAATGCACACCCGCGGCATGAGCACCGACACACAAGGGACGAGCGCCGGCAGCACCGCGGCGTCGGGGAGCAGTAGCATGTACTTCTCCGTCCCAGTCAGTAACAGCCCCCTTCACGGGGGTGCAGCCTCTGGCGCCGCTGGCGGGGGCGACCTTGTGACGGGTTCAGCGGGGGCCATGTGGCGTTCTGTCGCGTCAGCGGTAGCTGGCGGCGGCGGTGGCGGTGGTGGCGCCGGCGGCGGCGGCGGCGATTTCGATATGAGTTGGACTGAGCTGAACTACGACAGCCAGGCCATGATGGTGTTGCCGCCGCCACCACCTGTGGGGACTATGGGGGTGGCGGGGTCCCCTGCAATGCCGCAGCGACGCGACCACTCTCGGAACAGCAGCCGCACGGCCAGCGGCGGCTCAAGCCATGCAGGCGTATCGAGGCCGCCCTCGCAGCCGTGCCCAGAGTCACCCGTGTTTGCCGTGCAGCAATTTGGCTCGGGGGAAAGCGGCTCGGCTAGCGGTGTTGGTGTTGGTGGCGATGGCGGTGGCGGCGGCGGAGGGCCATTATACCCAGCGACTGCTACCGCCCTGGCGACGACTGCTGCCGCTGCAGCGGCGCAGCCGTACTATCCCTCTCACCAGCGTGCGCAGTCTGGTGGCGGGTCGTCTGGCAGGTCGTGAGGGGCCCCGGTCGCGTTGCAACAGCGGCTATACACCGATGCAATGAAAAGATTTCCGGTTTTCGGTCCTTACTGCATTCCGTGGCCAATATGTTACCTTACCTTGTTACGCTCATTGTTGTCTTCGCACAATAGGTCGAGACAGGTACTTTCGGGTGAGCCGGCACCTCCTTCAGCGCCGGACTCGCTGCCTAGGGGGAACTGTCACCACCCGACAGGATAGCAGGGTTTGGACGTCGGATCATGTGGCGGCGCGTTCCACGTAGCATCCTTGCTTTGTGTTTACTGCTTGTGTTATGTTACTGCTTCGCGTGTATGTGTGCGCAGGCATGGGCATGCATGGGGAGTAGGGGTGGTGAGAATACATCGGTAGGTAGGTCGAGCGCAGGGAGGTTTCCACATTGAGGCGTGTGGTAACGCAGCAGCGGGTGGCTTGGGGGTTGGTGTATGTGGGGGACAGTAGCAGGGTTCACGGCATGAATACCTGGTTGCCGCCAGCCGAATGGCGCATGAGCGTCATGATGATATGTGTAGCAGCGTGGGGTTATTCACGTGCTGCGGTCTGCAGTGCTGCTGGATTTGTAACTCTGGGCTTTAACGGCCCTGCTTTAAACCTCAATACGTTCTGTGTGTTGTGTGCGTGTTTTTATGCCAGAAAAGAATGAGCCATAGCAGGAGGACGAAGAAGGCGAGAAGATGAAAGATTTCCAACTGTGGGGTTGTTGGTGTGAAACGAGAAGGGAGAGAGTTCACGGCCCGGCGGTTGACGTCCAGTATGGTATATCGATTCTATTGTACATACTGGCGCAGGCGCCTAGCGCCTCCGGGGCCTGACTCCCCGGCTCGTATCACCAGAAGGCAGAAGGCCGCTGCTNC